CCACCAGATCTGGAACTCAAACTGTAGTCGACTATATGGGAGTCCAGTGACATAGCCATTACGTCAACTGCTGGCCCCTCTTTTCCTGTTTTTAGAGACGGCGCCTGGGGCTGGCTTTGAATTCATCATCTTCCTGATTCTATCTTCTTAGTATCTGGGACCACAGGCATGCACCACTGTAGCCAGTGACCAATTAGATATATGTACAAATGATTTATACATACACATATATATGTATATATTATACACACACACACACATATATATATAGTTTGCTATAGAGTGTGTGCACTTGCCAGAGTAAGACAGAGAAAGAGCGAGAAAGTGAGAAATTACCTTTGAAGAGGGTATCCATGCCATGATCCCTTCTCTTCCCGTCTCCTCTTGGGATTTTGGGCACTGACACACATGTACCTGGAGTGATTTTGAAGCCACTGGGTCTAGGACTAGAACCACAGTCAGCCATGTGGAATCCCATGCCTTAACCTCCACACCACACCTGCTGGCCCATTTATTTGCCAGAGGAGAAACTGATTTTTTAAAAAATTTTATCTTTTTTTTCTTTTTGGAGAGTTGTTTTTTTTTTTTTTTTTTTTTTTTGCTATAGGATGTGTGTGCTCGCCAGAAAGACAGAGACAGAGAGACAGAAAGCGAGAAATCACCCCCCCCCCAGGGGGGATGGCCACGCCACAATCCCTTCTCCTCCATTCTCCTCTCGGGATCTTGGGCACGCACGCACACGCACCCGGTGTGAGTTTAAGCCACTGGGTCCGGAACTCGAACTGTGGTCAACTAAGTGGGAGTCCAGCAACATAGCCATTACGCTAACTGCTGGTCCCTAAAAATTTTTATCTTTAAGTTTTGCTATAGGGTGAAATGTGGAGACAGAGGGAAAGTGAGAACGTGCCCTCTAAGGAGAATGGCTGCTACACAATCCGTTCTCCTCCATTTTCTTTGGGCTGCCCAGATATGGCGTGCTTCACAGCCACTGGGTCTGGGACTTGACTGCATAGTCAGCCGCGTAGGGTCCAGCCGTCTTCACCACCCTGCCACTGGTTTACCCAGGAGCAACTCATTTTTCACAAAGATGTGAAAGCAATTTGGTGGTGGAAGAATTGTTTTTTTTAAAAAAAAATTTATTTAACTTTATTTACTTATTTATCTTAATTTGACCAGAGAGACAGAGAGAGAAAGGGAGAAAGCAAGCTGCCAGGTCCAGGACTCAAACTGCAGTCAACCATGTGGGAATCCAGTGCTTTTAACCACCACGTCACCTGCTGGCCCCTGCTGTGGTTTTAAAATATGTATTCTTTATGAAATTAAGGACGTTCCCTTTGTCTTCGAAGTTTGCTGAATGTTTTTTTACCTATGAGTTGATTTTAAAATTCATCAAGTGCATGCTCTGCATCTGTTGAGCTATTGTCATATAGTTTTCCCTATTTCATTCTTCTTATGTGGTGAATTACAGTGATTGATTTTCAAGTATCAAACCAACCTTACACTCCTAAAATAAGCCCAGTTTTGTCATGTCCTTTTTATATATTGCTGAATTGGATTGCTTTTTTAAACGATGCTGTAGCGATCTGTTATCCATAGGCTAAAAAAAAAAAAGCAAAACCACCCTCCCCCCAAAAAATCTCCAAATGAATAAAAATGAATACTGACCTAAACCTCATGCCTTATTAAATTGGACTATACTCAAATTACAAACTTTTTGTTCTACCAAAAATCCTGAACTGAGTGAGAGGGTATAGGGAAACTTCCTAAACTTATTCTTTTTCCCTTTCCTCTCTCCCTCCCTCCCTCCCTTTCTTCCTCTCTCTTTTTGCAACCTCCTGTGAATCTACAATTATTTAGAAATTAAAAGTTTCCAGGGCCAGATCCAGCAGGTGGTGTAGTTGTGAGTCCAGCGATGTAGCCATTACACCAATTGCTGATGCCTAAATGATTCTTAAAAAAAAGTTTTAAGGGACCAGCAGTTAGCATAATGGCTATGTCACTGGACTCCCATGTAGTCGACTACGGTTTGAGTCCAGGACCTGGTGGCTTAAACTCACACCGGGCGCTTGTGCGTGCGTGCCCAAGATCCCAAGAGGAGAGGGGACCAGCAGTTAGCGTAATGGCTATGTTGCTGGACTCCCACGTAGTCGACAGCGGTGCGCGTCCCAGACTGGTGGCTTAAACTCACGCCGGGCGCATGAGCGTGCATGCCCAAGATCCTGAAAGGAGACTGGTGGCGTGGCCATCCCCCCTGGTGATTTCTCACTGTCTCTCTCTCTTTCTCTCTCCCTCTCTCTGGCGAGTGCACGCGCACTATAGAAAAAAAAAATCCCAAGAGAAGAATGGAGAAGGGATTGTGGCATGGCCATCCCCCCTTGGGGGGTGATTTCTCGCTTTTCCTCTCTCTGTTTCTTTCTGTCTTTCTGGTGAGCACATGTGCCCTATAGCAAAACCACTCCAAAAAAAAAAAAAAAAGTTTTAAAATGTCTTGTTTTTTTAATTGAGGTTTTAAGTTTTTGCAGGGGAGAGGAGGTGGGTATATGCTAGAAATGTTTTTTCCCATTCTTTTTGACTGTGAGGGCTTGTAACTTGTTTCCAAGGTTTACAGATTATCATTTTGATATGGCTTCAGAGGGAGGATGGAATAAATACAGATGATCAACATATTATGTGTCTAATAGCAGTTGTTTAAGGATTAAATTGAGGTTTTAAATTTTTGCAGGGGAGAGGAGGTGGGTATATGCTAGAAATGTTTTTTCCCATTCTTTTTGACTGTGAGGGCTTGTAACTTGTTTCCAAGGTTTACAGATTATCATTTTGATATGGCTTCAGAGGGAGGATGGAATAAATACAGATGATCAACATATTATGTGTCTAATAGCAGTTGTTTAAGGATTTTAAGTGGGGTTGTGACCTTTGAATAGATCACCTTGGTCATTTCTTAGGTGATGGATATGAGGAAAAACAAGATTGGAAACCGGATATTGTATTTCATTAGTTTTAGGAGACTTTTTGTTTCATTTTAACATCTTCTAATTGGAGTGTTTTATTATAGCTATTAGTCAGAGAGCAGTCATCCCGTATTTGTCATACCTGCTTCATAAGCATCAAAACTCTCAAAATGGTGTCTGAACTTGGAGGAAACTCCAGAAACAGAGAAACGCTCAGGAAATGCTGCATCACTAAAGCCCTGGATGGGGCACTCGGAGTACATCGTGTGGAAATTCACAGCCGTCTGAGACTGAGTCAAAAAAATGAATCATTACCAATTGGTCTTTGTGAACATTCAGTGATATTGCTGCCATGTTCTTGTTTTCTATTTTCCTTTTAACGTATGCACAAGCGTATCTAATACAAATATAATACAGATCTATAAGCCTACAGTTTTAGTGTTAAATAAAATTTTAAAAAAGAATTATTTAGTTTTATTTGTTATTATTATTATTTTGATTTCTTTTTTTTTTTTTTTTGAGAGGTTTCTGCTATAGGGCATGTGCACTCACCAGAAAAACAGAGAGAGACAGAGAGACAGAAAGTGAGAAATCACTCCCCAGGGGGGGATGGCCACGCCACAATCCCTTCTCCTCCATTCTCCTCTCGGGATCTTGGACACACACACACACATGCACCTGGTGTGAGTTTAAGCCACTGGGTCCAGGACTTGAACCACGGTCGACTACATGGGAGTCCCGTAACATAGTCATTACGGCAACTGCTGGTCCCTTATTTAATTTCCTATAGGACATGTGCACTCACCAGAGAGAGATAGAGAGAAAATGGGAAAGCAAGCCACCAGGTCTAAGACTTGTACTGTGGTGGGTCGTGTTGGAGTTCAGTGCCCCAACCACCATGCCACCCGCTGGCACCTGAAGTAAGAGCTTTAAATGGTAAGAAAGTATCACCACAGTTTATTTGCAACCTTTTTCCTTAGCAGAACACAACTTAATGGTGAGTTTTACAACTGATGGGGTCCAGGAAAGGGATAACAGTGAAAATACTGAGCGAATATTTTTGAAGAATTATTTTAAAATAATTGTATTTATTTTAATTTGACTAGAGAAAGAACGCACGCGTGAGGGGGCGGGGCGGGGGAGCAAGCAAGCTGCCAGGTCCGGACGAGAACCTCAGTCGGTCATATTGAAGTCCAGCACCCTTAACCACCACGCCACTGGCTGGCCCCTGGCAGAATTATTAAAATACTAAGAAGGGGGTCAGCTAGTGGCTTGGACCAACTGGGAGTTTGGAGACTGGACCTTGCGTCTTGGACAGACGGGCGCATGTGCCTGCTTGCCCAAAAGCCGAAAGGGAGGACGAAGCGAAGGGACTGTGTCGTGGCCACCCCCCTTATGACTGCTTTCTCACTTAACCTCTCCAGGTTTCTGGCCTGGCCAGCTGCGTGCAGGTGGTAACCCGTGGGAGGGGAAGGAGGAACAGTTTTTTGGAGAAGCTCAATTTAGGACAGGCTACCCTGAAATAAATGGATGGACCTTTGTACTCGCAGCGGTCCCACGGATATCCCCCCCACGGGGTTTGGCACAGGGAGGCTGCGGCTCTGCCATATGGGTCCTGCACACCCAGAGCGGCCTGTGTGAGCGAGTAAGTGGGACGAGGTGCCAGCCGGGTCCGTTCGCCAGCTCTGCGCACACAGGCGGGACCACCACCGCCTTTGGACAACTCCAGGGTCCTGGCTCTGCCGGCTGGGGCCGCCCACTGCTGTGGGCGGGAACGTGCGATTGGCTGGAGCCCTCGGCGCGTGTGGAGGGCGGGCACAGGCTTCAGAAGTTGCTCCGCGATTGGCTTCACTCAAATTTTGGGACCGCCCTCCAGGGGGCGGACCTACATTTCGACCCGCTCCGTCACTTAGCACAACTGGTAAGCAAAGTATAGCTGTATTGGTCATCGAGCCCTCCTCACAACCCCCCGCTCCTTTCTGGGGTCGGGATGAGAGGAGAGCTGTGATTGGTAAACTTGCAGGGACGGGGTTGGGCTGGGACTGAAACTTGGCTTCACTTCTGGACTTGGCTACTGTCCTGGGCATGGATTGGGCCGCGGGGTTGTCAATGTTGTCCGGGGGCGTGGCCATCGCTAATAAAGAGCCGGGCTGGCGCGGCAACTGCAGTAGATTCCACCGCAGCTAGAGATCCTGTCTGTGAGCGGGAGGCGGAGCTCGGCAGTTCCGTCCGCTTCAGCCGCAGCGTCCCACCGCCGGGTGTCTTGCCGCAGCCTCCAGAGAGGAGACGGACTGTCACTCCCTCTATCAGAAAAATGTAAGTTAACTCTGGTGTGGAGGCTCGACACCTCCGTGCCAACTCTCACCCGAGCGCCAGACTCTGCGGGACGGAAAATGGCGCATTGCAGCAGCTGCGGCGACGCTGGAAAGCTCCACCGCGCGCCGCACCGAGACCGGGCCACCCTCCGGGGAGGCAGGCAGCACCCCATCCCCACACCAGCCTCACCTGGCACCTACGGGCGGGGCAGGGGCGCAGGGGTCCCACGTTCCTTGCGCTCTCTCCTCTTGTCTGCGTGGCACCTTATTCTGGTCTCCCAGTTCAGTGCAGCCCCGGAGAGGGCGAAGGGGGCATGGAACAGCCGGGCAGGGACTCGAAGGCCCTTTATGTCGTCTGAGTCTGAACAGAGTCTCTGGGAGTCCTGGGTGTCCTGTCAGTTAGTAACTTCCTGGAAACTCTGGATTTGCGTTTTTCCCTCACTATCCGCCTCATGGCAGTGCGCAAAGCTCCAGAAACTTACCTGCCAGTTCTCCAGAGTCGGGTGAACGGCTCAGAAGACTCAAGAGGCCGTGGCTGTGATCCCACGCGCCGGCCACCCGTGTAGGAAGTGTTTTCCTCTCCTCGAGTCTTAGCCAAGGATTTGGAGGAGAACTGGGGAGAGCTGAGCCTTGCCCCTTCCTCCCACTGTTTAGTCTTCAGCCATCTTCAGCTTCACTCTCCGAGATCCCCTGGGAGAGCGATGGCTAGACAAATAGGTCCTAGGTGTACTGGTGTCGCTTCTCTTAGTGGCATTAAAGGGGGAGATTCACTCGCGTTACATAAAGGTTACGGTTATCCCTGGGTATTTGACTGTTTCAGGGTCTCCAGCTCTGAAGAAGTAATCAATGAAATGGGACCCTCACATGCTTTATAGTCATTTCAATTTTTCCTTTTGATTTCTGTGGTCTTTAATCTGTGTATGGTATCCTGTGCATTTTGAACTAGCCCCCAAGAGTCTAGTTTTCATTCTAGGGAAAGGGAATCCTCCTTCGCTGAGCGATACTATTACAGATAGCGTCCATGTGGGATGAACGAAAGGAACTGTAGAAAGCGTGGTGGTTGGCAGGGCATCACAAGATCGCTGACCTTAATCTTGTCATTGGTGCCACCATCCTGGACTGCTTCCAGCACCGGCTGCTCCCTACTCACTGAATTTCCCCCTCCAGTCGGGAACCGGAGTGCCTAGCTAGCTCAGTAGCATTGCGGGAGTCCCGACTCCCGTGGCCCCGTAGAGGGAAATGTGAACGAGATTCCTTACGTGGGCCTGGGGCAGGTGTAATCTGCTAGTGTAGTGTGAATAAGGGAGCTGTCTCTCTTTTTAGACGGAAAGAATTTACTTAGTTAAGGAGGAGGCGCTTCTGGGGATTGGCCCTATTGCAGTTAGTCAGGGTGGCCTTTTTAGTGAATTCGTGATGGTTTGGTCTCTAGAGCATTTCCTCTTGGACTCTTCATGCCAGATATGTTTCGTGAAGTTCTGCTTTGGCGTGAGGCCTTCTCCTTGTAGTTTATATTCTCCATCAAATTTGACAGGTGTCCCTCCTGCCTGTGGGTTCTTCCTTGTCAGAGAAAATGTCGTGCCTTCCATTAGATTTCTGGGAATTCTTTAGGACGTGAACTTCACCTCCCTGTGTTGGGGCTTGAGGAGTTTATCTGACACACCATGGTCGATTACTCCTTCCTGAGACTAAGGGGTCCCTGAGCCTAGAGTGGTACTGAAGAAGCGCACTTTTCCTGTGTATAGTAGCGAAACCAAGGGGTGTAAGGAACGAGGGGAGTCTCCTGAGACTCCGCCAAATCTAGAAAAGGAAGGGACAGAACGTCTATGATGCGTGTACTCGGAGCACTATTTCTAGCATTATTATTATTACTATTTGCCTCCTGTCTCTGCTCTTGGAACAGTTTCCATAACTAATGTAATTGCTTTGGGCCCAGCGTCTGTCTAAATGAAACCCTCATCTTCTCTGCCAAAACAAACAGTCCTGACTCACTCCACCTACATAGACGTTGCCTTTGGTTGTTCTCCAGGTTGTCCTTAGAGCCTCCTGATGTGCTGCTCCTTGTTTGAGCAGGCCCTGGAGCTTGCTCTGTCCTTTCCTGTTCAGTGTTGGGGTCCCACCGATGCTCTTATGCTGAGGGTTCAGACTCTTCTCTGAATTTCTCCTGTCTGGGGTTGGGTTCTTCCAGTTTACTGCATGTGAAAGCCTTTTGACAGAAAAATGCCGTTTTGGCCAAGGCTGGCACATTGGTTCCTGTAACCATTGTCCCCGAGGATGCATTTGAGTTTAGGCCAGAGGACAGCCCCAAGAAGGTCCTCTAATCCATCTGGGATGTGTCTGAGCCCCATCTGTGTATCATGTTCAGGATCTTTCATTGTTTAGCTTCTTGCTTCTACGTGGCATCTCCCTATGTGGCGTCGCCCCTTCGGGATGGCCACGGAGCCGGACTCCCTTCCATCCGCATGTAACCTAAGCAGAAGTGCTAGGGGTGGGGTTGAGGATGCCGTTCCTTTCCTGGCCTGGTTACTTTGTGTGTTCTGTCCACTTCCCTCCACAGGTCTGCTCCAGCTCAACCACCCGCCGAAGGGGCAGAAGGGGCTGCCCCAGGAGGGGGTCCCCCTGGCCCTCCTCCTAACATGACCAGTAACAGACGACTGCAGCAAACCCAGGCACAAGTGGAGGAGGTAGGTGGACCCCCGTTGCTCTGAGTTCCCAGATCACAATGTTTAGAAACAGAAGGGAACATCTCGCCTGTTCTCCTCTTTCTTGTAGGGAGGTAGTTAAAGGCTCTGGGAGGCCGAGCATCCTTTGGTGTCCGGAGGTCCAGACTTGTGGTACTCGGGCCGTCATCCTTTTCCTGTCTACAACAGGACTCTTAGCCACTTTGTTCCCCTTTTCAGGTGGTGGACATCATGCGTGTGAATGTGGACAAGGTCCTAGAGAGGGACCAGAAGCTGTCAGAGCTGGATGACCGAGCTGACGCCTTACAGGCGGGAGCGTCACAATTTGAGAGCAGTGCCGCTAAGCTAAAGAGGAAGTATTGGTGGAAAAACTGCAAGGTGCGTTTTCTTGTCCTCTCCCCCTTCTTCCTCCTCTTCCCGTGCTTTCACTGGTAGTAAGCACGAAAACCTGCAGCTTTTACATTCCTTCCCGCTGCGGCTTGCAGTTTTGGGGAGGAAATCTGGAAAGCCGCATCCTTCTTGAGATGCACTTCCTCTGTTGGCCACCAGGGTAGGCTAGAGGATTCAGAACAACTGGGCGAAAGCTATGCCGGAGGAGTTTGGAGTGGGTAGTTTCGTAGCTTTTCTCCAAAGAAGTCTCCTGCAAAAGATCTCACCCTTCCTCAGACATTGAGTGTCAACACCAGTGTCAACACAGTGGCTTGGGTGGATATACGTTTAAGCACGTGCAGCTTCTAGGAATGAGTTGAACACTTTACAGTGAAAACGTCACCAGTTGGGGCCAGCTGATGGTGTGCTGTGGTTAAGGTGGCTGATCCCAACTGGCCAATTGTGTGCTTGAGTCCTGGACCTGGTGGCTTGAGAAATGCTTCGGGTGCATGCATGCCCAAACTCCTGAGAGGAAGATGGAGGAGGGATTACAGAAGGGTTGCTTTCTCACTGTCTTGTCCTTGCTCTCCATGTTTCTGTCTGGTGAGCGCATGTGTCCTTTAGCAAATTAAAAAGCAAACAAAACAGTACTGGATGAAATCAACAATACTTTTTTTGGGGGGGAGGCAGACCTAACCAACTGACTAAAAAGCCAAAGTCTGCATTCCTTTGGAATTCCTTTGGAAGCTCCCAGGCAATGGGGGGGAAGCAGAAGGCAACCAGCTGCAGGTCCTTGGTGTTTCTGAAAAGCTCCAGGCCTGAGGAGTTGTGGTCCTCTAGGAAGCCGAGGGGCGGGGCCTCTGAGAGGCAGCCAGGTCTGGGGGGGAACGTGTGGTCTCTAAGTCCCACTCCCTCATCTCCAGTCCTGGCTCCTTCCCTCCTTCCCCACACCCAAGGGCTCACGTTCTGTCCGTGTTTCCTCAGATGATGATCATGCTGGGAGCTATCTGTGCCATCATCGTGGTAGTTATTGTAAGTAAGTATCGCTGAGGTCGCTGGTGGGGTGAAGAGGGGGGAAGGTCCTGGCATCTTCCCCCAGCCCTGCCTGCCTGCCTGCCTGCCTGGGGAGTGGGGCTGCTCTGACTGAGGTATGGAGACCACTGCTGTGGGGTCATCGCCTGGTTTGGGGGGGGAGGAAGGGCAAAGATGAGGGACTTCCTTGATGGACTGACCTCCCCCCTGCAAGGCATCGCGGGGAGACGCCCCTGCTGTTCTGAGCAAGTAGGCCGTGCTGTTTGTCACTGGCTTGGGTCGGGGGAGACCACGGGAACGGGCGCCTACAGCTAAAAGACCTGACTGTCTCGTAACTCGATGTAATTTGCCCTCTCGTTTTCTCCTGTCTCTTTCTCTCTTCCGTCTGGGACTTCCTGGTTCCTGTGTCCAGTCTACTTTTTTACTTAAGAATGTGCCACCCCTCCCCTGTTCTCCATTGCCATCCACACTCATGCCCCTGTCCCTCTGTTTGCTCTCAGCACACTCCCCATCTGCCTCCCTCCCGCCCAGCCCAGGCTTCTCCATCACCCATGGCTCCCGTTCTGTTGCGTTCATTTGCACTCTGTCCCTCCACACTAGAAATGCTGCTCGTGGCTCAGTCTTGAAGTCACTGCCTGAGGAGCAACGGCTGGCACCTCCTCCCTGCCCCCTTCGTATGTACTTCAGTTCCCCCAAAGCCAGGGAAGGGGAAGGGCTGAGGTGAAGTGCCCAGATGAGGGGCGGAGAAGGGAGTTGGCTCCTAGAAGGGCCTGGCCCTGGCAGGAGGGGCTGGAACAGGGAAGAGCACAGCTCTCTGAGCGCCACCTGGTCACTCGCAGCTCTCCTCCTCTGCCACGCCGGAAGAGGGTCCTGGAGGTTGGCCCAAAGTCCAGTGTGGTCCTGGCATAATGCCCTTTTTGCAGTTATTTCTGATCCACTAGTCCAAGATTCTCTGCGTCTTCGGGGATCTTGCAGCCTTTTCACTTTGTTCTCCATAGGTCCAGAGAGCAAACACCCATTAATTGGGAACATACCAGGTACCCATTTCCCCCCTCGAAGCAGCCCTTCATGCTTCTAACTGGAAGGAGCTGCCTCTTCTTCATGTTTACTGTCGCATTCTGTATTGTTCCAGGGGGCACAGAATAATCTCATCTAGCCCGAGTTGGGAACTGTCAATGAACTCCTTGTTGGCATAGGTAAAGAGAACGCCTGTTAGTGACGGAGAGACTCGGGCCCGAGAGCCGCCACGTTCCCTGTCACTATCAGGAGTCCCGCTCCTCCCTTCCTGTTGGCAAAGGAGCGTGAGGTGTTAGAAGTGAGGATCCCTGAATCTCCATGGGACCCTTTCCCCACCACCTCGCCTGTGTATTCACCAAAGACAGGGATGAGGAGGGTGTCCTGGCCAGCCCCAAGGGTTGGGAGAAGGCCAGTAGCCCCGGCGGGGTCCCGGGGCGGGAGGCGGGCCAGTCTGTGCCGGTCGGTCGTGGGGCCCTCCCATCTAGAGCCGCCTTTCTTTTCCCCTCAATGTGTCCCCCTTTCCGACCCTCTTTGCTGATCTGGGTTCCACTTTGCCACCTTTCTTTCCCTCCTTTCGCATGGTCGTGCATACGGACGGCGGAGCCCAAGGAGGGGGCTGCTCAGCCTATCTGGGCTATTGCTGAGCTCCGGGGTGAGGGGAGGAGGGCTGGCCGCAAACAGCGGGAAGCCACCGCCCTGTACTCCTGCAGGAGGAGCCGAGGCCACGCTGGGCGGGGTCTGGATGCCACTTTCCATGCAGCAGCATTTCACGTGTGACACCATCCTCCCCTTCCCTTCGCCCCTCTTTCCCACATTCCCTTCGTCCTGCCCCAGGGCGGGACGGAAGAGCTGGAAGAAAGCAGTCAGTGTGCCCTCCCAGCTGTGCCCCTCGAAGGTCTTCACTCTCCTCTGGCCTCCTCCTTGCCTAATTCAGGGGGTCCCCGCTGGAGAAGAACCACCACTGTCCTCGAAGTAACCAAGGCTGGAGCAAATCCCCCTCTTGGCCCACCCAGCCCTGTCCTGGGAGTTACTTCTTGGGTTTCTGTCCTTCTGAGGCTCACCACATGTAGTTGGCTTTGTTCCTTCCGGCGTGTCAGCCCCTCCACTTTCTTTCTCACTCCACCCTGTACCCTTGTCGTCTGCTCTCCCCGCTCCCTGCCACCACCCATACGCATGAGCCAGTGTGCAGCTACACCCGGGACTCTGCAGTCAAATGAAGCCAGCTTCCCACATCCCCTTCTTCGGTTTGCCGTGAGATGATGTGGGTTTCCACCGTGTGTCTGTCATCACCTCTGTGTCTTTTTTCCTAGCCCGATCTCATACTTGTATAAACTACTAACGGTTGTATTTCACCAAAGGCATGTGGCATATCTACCCACTTCATGTATTCTGAACAAAAGCAAAAAAATACAGATTCCTACCATTAAACCGACTTGGTGGTTGTTTGGTTGGAGGAACTGGGGAGGGGGAGGAGGGAGAGCCGTCTCCTTGTCTCCTTTTAGTATTCGATGTTGCTTCAGGCTGGAAGGGCTGCCTGCATGCGCCTTCACGGAGATTAAAGGGCCCCGCGCCTGCAGAGGAAGTGGGCTCTGCTCCGTGTTCGTACCTGAAGCAGCCCTGCTCTGGCTGGAACAAGCAAGAGGAAGTGAGGACAGGAAGTGAGCGGGCATCTCAGGCTGGCAAACAGCTGCAGCTTTTCTCAGGCTTTTCCCAGCTACCTCCCGCCGGGCCCTCGGCCTGCCCAGATGAGGCCTTGGTGAACACCCCCTCTTCTCTGTCATCCTCATCAGAGAGAGACAGAGAACGTGAGAGAGCAAGCTGCCAGGTCCAGGACTCAAACCACAGTTGGCCATGTGGGAGTCCAGTGCCTAAACCTGCTGGCCCCATAATACAGGGTTTTTTGTTTGTTTGTTTGTTTGTTTTTTACTGTATTTATTAATTATTATTATTATCTTTAATTTGACCAGAAGAGACTGAGGGAAAGTGAGAAAACAAGCCACCAGATTTGGGACCTGAACCGTGGCCGCCATGTGGGAGTCCAGCACCGTTAATTGCCATGCCACCTGTTGGCCCCCATATACAGTTTTCTTATGCTGAGTTCTGTGTGGACCAGGCACAAGTTAGAAATGAGCAGGACTCTCCCCGCAGCTGGGGGCGTGAGAGTGCGCAGGCATCCCAAAGCCCAGCCGCCCAGAGGGGCCTTACCTGCTCAGGGATTCAGTGAGATGGAGCCCAAGTGTTTTTCTTTTTTTGAGAGGTTTTCGCTATAGGGCCGCGTGCGCTCACCAGACAGACAGAGAGAGACAGAGACAGAAAGCGAGAAATCACCCCCCAGAGGAGATGGCCACACCGCAATCCCTTCTCCTCCGTTCTCCTCCTGGGATCTTGGGCACACATGCACACGCGCCCAGCATGAGTTTTAAGTCACCGGGTCCAGGAGGTGAACTGCAATCGACTACATGGGAGTCCAGCAACATAGCCATTACGCCAACTGCTGGTCCCGAGCCCAGGTGTTTCTGAGGGCCTCGCAGCAGCACAGCTTGGGGTGGGGCCCGGTGGGGCCCACGCAGAGGAAGACATGCCAGTCGGGAGCTTTGCTTCAGTGGGTACTGGGGCTTTTATTTTGACAAAGTCCAGGTCGCAGTGGGGGCCCAGCCCTTGCCTCACTTGCTCCTTGCTCCATTTCTTCCCGGTTCCTTTTCCTGCCTCTGCAGCTCTGGCTCTTCGGTGTCACAGACATCCTGCCTCCTGTTGTCCCTCATCGTTGTCTCCCCAGGGGAAGGCAGCAGAGGCCCTGCAGGGCCAGAGCCCGGGACCGGGGTGCCTTTGTGACTCCCCCAGTGCCGTGACTCCACTCAGTGTCCTGGAAGAACGCGGCTCCTTTTTCCTCCAAGGAGAGTAGCCTCCCAGAATGCCTCAGAGTCTTGGCAGATATCGATGGGGGGCTAGAAGAAAATGGGCTGACATTGGTTTCCCTTGGGGTAACCCCAAGGCACGGGGCTGTAGTGGGCGGGCTGGCTGGAACACAGGACATCTGGGCTTCGGCCCTGGTTAGAGTGGGGAGGTGGTCAGGGCCAGAGCTGAGGGCCGCTATTCTCTCTCTCTGTTTTTTTAAATACTTTTTAAAAAAATGAATTATTTATTTAACTTTATTTATTTGTTTGTTTATTATATTAATTTGACCAGAGAGAGAGAGAGGGAAGGGGAGAAAGCGAGCCACCAGGTCCAGGACTCAAACCATGGTCGGCCATCTGGGAGTCCAGCACCCTTAACCACCATGCCACCTGCTGGCCCCCACTGTTCTCTTACCGTGCTATCTTGTAAGCCTCAGGAACAACAACAGTGCGAGAAGGAAGAGGCTGCTGGCAAGGATGACCCCGAAAATTGGTCTCTGTTCTGTAGGGGACAACAAGGTGGGCAGGAGTCAGTGGCTGGGCCTATGCCCGCGTCCATTCTGGGGAGGAGCAGAGGAGCAGGTGCTTGTGTGTCCTGACCCAGGAGCCAGGGCTCAGGCAGAGAAGAGCATGTGCGTGTTCGAGGCAGGCAGATGGTTGTGTTACTCCACCTAGAATCCTCTCCGTCTCACCCTTCAGGACAGTATTTTATTAATTAAATTAATTTATTCAAAAATTTTATTTCTTATTACACATTTTTAATTTGCTATAGGACATGTGCACTCTCCAGAGAGAGAGAAAAAGAAAGTGAGAAAGCAAGCCTCCAGGTCTGAGACTCGAACCATGGTTGACTATGTGGAAGTCCATCGCCTTAACTACCACGCCACCTGCTGACCCCAGGATAGCATTGTTTTTTTTTGAGAAGTTTTTTGCTATAGGGCGCGTGCGCTCTCCAGACAGAGAGAGACATAGAGACAGAAAGTGAGAAATCACCCCCCGGGGGGATGGTCACGCCGCAATCCCTTCTCCTCCATTCTCCTCTCGGGATCTTGGGCATGCACGCACACGCGCCCGGCGTGAGTTTTAAGCCACCGGGTCCAGGACTCGAACCATGGTCGACTACGTGGGAGTCCAGCGACATAGCCATTACGCTAACTGCTGGTTCCCCCCAGGACAGCATTTTGAAACTGCTTTGCAAGAGAGAGTTAGGTTAGGTTAGTTGTTGACAGTTACGCGAGTTTCGGCAGTAACCGGGGACTGATGTGAGCTGAGACAGAGCTCTAGGGCAGCCGAGTCCGACAGCGGCCGATAATGCCCGGGTCTCTCGGACGTGCACTTCACGGTGCTGATTCCCTGCTGTCCCTTTCCCATTTTAGAGCTTCTAACAACATTTGTGGCTTTCAGGATCAAGTTCCAGCTTGAAGGCCGACAGGGTTTAGGCCTGTAAAGGAATCAGGCTGCCTTTTTTCCCCATTTTCTGTTTTTACCACTTCTGGTAGTTGGCCTTCGGTATGTTACCTACCATCTGCAAGTGCCCGCTTGCTCATCTGTCACTGAGGCTGTGCCACGGGTGAGCCTGCCTCTAAGCGCTGGGTACAGCGCCTGGCTCGTGTACATGCTCAGCACACAGACCTGCTCTGGAGCGTCAGCGCCCCTGCCCTTTCCACATGCACCATCAGCTCTGGCTGTGCCGAACCACCTGCACTTCCCAGACTCTAGGCGGTTTTAAAATGTGGCCTTCACGAGTGCCCTTCTGTCTGTCTGGAGCGCCCGCTTCTCTAAGCTGGCTAACTCATCTCAGACGCCACCTCTGCGTCATCTTCTATGCCTGCCTAGGCTGGTCTCTGTAAATGGACTATGCTCTCAGAGTGCAGGATGAGACAGCCAACCTTGATCGCTAGCTCCAGGCACACTGCTGGTACCCTGCAGGCTGGGATGCCATGAGCTCCCAGGGAGGTGTGGAAGCCGAAGAGGCTGCCGCGTTGAAAGGCTGAAGCCAGGGGCAGAGGCATGATGAACCGGGACTGTGAGCAAGTTTGTGGGAGAACAGGCCACAGACGAGCTGGAGGCAGGAGAGCTGTTCCCGAGTACGGAGGTGGGGAAAGGAGGACACTTCCAGTACCTGGTGGGACAACCTGGGCGCTGACCTCCAGGGGCTTCTTCAGGGAGACGTGAGTGACCTGGCAGGTGTAAGTGGCGCCTGCAGAGCCAGGTTCTGCCGTCAGGGAGGAGGAGATGCTGTAGGTGCCCGCCATGCTTTGCCTGAGGCTGGAGAAGGAGGCGCCAGAGACTTGGACTGGGGCTCCACCCTGCTCCTTTCGGGTCCACGTCACTGCCAAGTTCAGAGGGTAATAGCCAGTGATGCGGCAGATGAGGGTGGGTGGCACCCTTTGGTCCGCCAGGTGCAGCTGTACTTTGGGGGAAGCTGGAAAAGAATGGGGAGTATGAGTAAGATTCCAGAGGGGTCCGGCTGGGGACAGCAGAGGGGCCCTGAAGTGGGTTGTGGAGACACAAGGTTCCTCCTCAGTGATGTCCCAAGGACAGCGGGGCGAGGGGCCCACCTGGTGCAGGGCACAGAAAAGTAACGGCCAAGCCAGCTGGAGGTCGACTTGCTCTCATAATGCTTAATTGTGACCTCAGAGGACGTCGGTGATAGATACTCCTGGCCAGCTGCCGCCACCGCCTGGGCTTGCTGCTGCTGCTCCCCAAGACGTGGCCCAGGACTGGGGATTGGAGCCAGCCAGGGCGGGCAGCAGGTGGCTCGGGCCTCTCTGGATGGAATTATGTGAGTCCAGTGGGACCCCTTATCTGATGGCAGGATAAAAATGGCATTGGGGGGACCAGCAGATGACATAATGGATACGTCGCTGGACTCCCACATAGTTGACTGCAGTTTGAGTCCTGGACCCGGCAGCTTAAAACTCACACTGAGCGCGTATGAGTGCCCGCCCAAAATCCTGAGAGGAGAATGGAGGAGAAGGGACTGCGGGGATGATTCTTCCTTTCTGTCTCTTTGTCTCTGGAGAGCAAACAAACCCTATAGCAAAAATCTCTCTCTAAAAAAAAAGTCATTGAGGCCATGGGAGTGCAGTCTGCCTCTTAGGAACTCTTGCCTTTGTGTTTGGACCCCAACCTGGAAAAACACCCCCGATAGGAATCTCCCTTCTGGGCTAGCTGAGGCCCAGCCTCACCCTGGATGTTGAGGTGGATGATCTGCTGAGCTCGGTACAGAGACGTGGTGATCTGGCAAATGTAGGCCCCCTCGTCCTGCAGTGTCAGGCCGGCCAGGGTGAGGGAGGCGTCCCCGGCCGCGTGCAGCTGCTCAGGATCCAGCGTGGCACCCTCCCGCCTGGCCTGGCTCTGGCCCGCCGTCCAGCTGTACACCTCCCGGCCACTGCCCTTATGCTGCAGCCGCCACTCCACACTGCGGAGAGCCAGGCCGGGTGCCATGGAGAAGCCACAGTGCAGGGAGGCCGAGGACCCCAGCAGGAAACTCAGGGCTTGAGTCTGTGTCGTCACCTGGAACTTCACTGTGGAGAGAAAAGAGGAGTGACTTGTGGCTCTCTCCTCGAGGCCACTCTGAACGGTGGGAATGTGGGCCTCTGTCTGCCCCTGCCTCTGCCCGGACAGTAAGGCCAGTTTTCATTTCTCATCAGATGGAACCACAAAGAAGTGGGGCCAGAACCATTTTGAGGTCACTGAGCAAGCTGTGGGTCTCACACCAGAAAGATACACATGAAGGGGCCAGCAGGTGGCATGGTGGTTAAGGCTCTGGACTCCCACATGACCTACTGCCGTTTGAGTCCTGCACCTTCGAGTCTTGGACCCAGTGGCTTGACAATCATGCTAGGTGCATGTGTACACATGCCTAAAGTCCCAAAAAGAGAAAGGACGAGAAGGGACTGTGATGTGGCCATCCGCCCTAGGTGGGTGATTTCTCACTTTCCTCTGTCTCTTGGGGAAGTGCACTTGCTCTATGGCAAAAACCTAAAAAAAAAAAAATAATAAAAGGATAAAAGAAGAGACACATGCAAAACTGTAGGTTCCTGCT